TAAAAGGAGGAGTATTTGAACGCGAGGACAGCAAAGTCCGGAGGGCTGTTCCTATATCTATTGCGAGGATGCATTTGGCCTGGGGCGTTATCCCCGGTAGTAACATTTTCAGAATAAGACCTTTTTCCGAGAATTCCTTTGGTTGACGATGTTGACATTTTGGTATTCACGCACAACGAAAAACGAAAATATCGGTTTTTTATAGTAAAATGGGACTTGCTCTGCACAATAGTTTCGGCCAAAATTACTCAATTGAAAATTTAATGTTAGTAAATTCAATAGAACCAGATTTCCTTCAATTTACACGTGATTAATATACCAACAAAATCACAAGATCACAGTATAACTTGAAACTTCATGACTATTTCTAAAAGAAACTGGCTTTCGTGTTCTAGTAAAAAATTTCATTACAAATTTTTTGATATAAAATTTTCTTTATCTATTTATCTAGTTGAAGCTTTGAAGAGCGTTAAAGTAAAAATCGTAAATTTGCAATACAATTCGATTGGTAATCAGTTATACGTCACGTAAATTTCGATGGCCACCTAGTTGAGTTCAGCATATAATTTATGTGCAGGCATTTACTGGTCATTGCTTACAGTATTCGGAGTCTTATTCAAAAATTCCATTTTTAAAATTGAATTATATTTGGGGGATATATCATATTAAGTAGTAAATCCCCCTGGATCTTATTCAAGAAACAGGGTTGGAAGTAACACCCGGATCTTTAATTATGAGAGTATGGGGTACCGTAAGCAGTGGCCGACGATAGGTTTACCTTTTCTAAAATCCTAATTCGAACATCTTTAACATCTAAAGTTTCCATAATGACAAGTCTACAGTGTGATTATTTAACGAGTAACCGAATATTTTTGTCCATCAAGTGTATAAGCAGGTAGCAGGGCATAAATACCTATTCATTTCCCGGCCATGCATCCCATTGTTTCAAGTGATACATTAAAATAATAATAATAATTTGAATCAAGAACGATGTTTTGAGTGGCCGAGAAATGAATAGGTATTTTATGTGGATACGTGCTGACAATGTTACCATTTGAACCTCCCCAAGGTACGGTTTGAATAGTCTGGACACTTCGTATGTATGTATGTACGTTTTTAAAATGCATGGAATTTTGTTCAGAGCAATTAGCCAATAAGGGTTACGATCATATTGAAAAATCTGCTACGCTATCTCAAATGTATTTTAATCTAACGCTAATTGCAAAAATTCAGAGCAAAAAAATTATCCTTAATATCTCATGAGAAGGCCCATAATTCATAAAACGGCCCTGCACCAAGAATCTATTCCCTTAAATGCTTCAGGATTGTTACATATGCGTTGAGACTTCTTTCGTAACATTTATATACACTGATTAAAAAAAAAAAAAATACATCACTCTGGTTATCATGACATCCGGATATAGCGATACCATATTAAATCTTTCTAAGTGTTTTGGGCGAAGCCCGATTTTGTAGATCTGTTGTAGATCAAATGGGCGAAACTAGTTTCTTCCTGGAGAAATGTTTTGAGATCTTAAAAATCGGGTTTCCAAAAACACCACTATATGCCACCCATTTTTTCATTCTTTTTATGAATGTCGAAGCGTCGCTATGATAAATGTGATTGACATTTCTAAAACCATTACATGAATCAAATTACTTTGACTAAAATACTTGAAAATCTGGCTATCGTTTTGACAAATTCTAGCCTGCACATATATAAGAAAATTATACAAAAAAGATTTTAATAACGATAAGAGTAAAGTTCTTTATTTGCTAAATTCATTTTTGTATTTGATTGGCCAGCGATCTACATCCTTATAGTAAACTCTCGATATAGCTGTATAGTGAAAGCTAATCTCAATATAAAATGAATTTTATCAATGGAACCGATCACCTCACTATAATGAGAGTACTTTTAATTAGATGGTCTTAAGAGAATAGTGGAGTATAGCGGCAGAGGTGCTAGATAGATATCCCATGGTTCGAGACTGCCTTTTGAGTAAACTATGGCAAAAAAAAAACTTTTTACGTACAAATTACAATACAGCAATACACCTAATTATCTGTTATTGTTTTATGCTTATATGCATGTGATTCCTATTTTCATTGCCGTCGTTAAATTACTTCAATTAGGCAACTATTTACTACCTTTAATAAACTCTCGTTTTCACTAAGAAATGAATTTACATTTAAATTAGGGATCTGCAATGCCCTTTGGGCGTCATGCGTAACACTAGTGCCATTGCCTGTGTCCATGGTAACGAAAGTTCCAGCATGTTAGGCACGCACAGGCGCTTTTATGCCAAACAATTTGTGTTCTAGAGCCTAGTAATTTTAGGCTAGGCCTTCATGCTTATATGCACAATACCCGACTTGTCTGTACCTACAAAGTTCCCCGACAAGACAATGCCTGTGCCTTTTGTTGGGTACAGGCACATGTAGGGCTTGCAGGATCCTAATTTAGATCTAAAAATCTGGAATAAAGCGGAATTGTATAGTATACCAATCTTAAAAGATTACTGCGTATCGTTTATCGATCAGAATACAAGCAGATTATCTAGCTTCTTTATATGAAATATATATATAACTTATATATTACTATTGAAAATAAACGTATATTTTTTTTTATACATCTTGTTGGGTCACAAATTTTGTGAAGTTTTTGTGTGTCACGTTTAGAAGTGACCAAACAAGATGCTTACATCAGAAATATACAATGACCAAGTTATTGGTCAAGTTGTTAATGACAATCGCTGATTTATTCACAGCGGATGCTATCTCATGACTGTGGCCCTTGGCCACCGTTATAGAGTGCGCCAGGGCGACCACCAAAAGTCCGATCAGGTGATAAGGCGCCACAGCATAATTTCTTTGAATCTACATACAACTTTATTGTTGTGAAAATTTCTTATATAACAAAACAATACGTATACTACTGGTTATTAAGATATATATGGCTGTTGCGTCTTATCACCTGATCGGACTTTTGGTGGTCGCCCTGGCGCACTCACCGTTATATCTCAGCATCCTAGTGAATAATCAGTTATGACCAATAACAAGTAATTATCGTTTCTATTCACTACAGTACTGCAGTATTGCAGAATTTGTAGATTTGGTGTTAAATTCACATGATCATGCGCACGTACGTACGTACGATTTGTTTTTTTCGCGACGTAATTTTTAATTATTCAGGCAGATCTTATTTTCATTATCCTCTATTCCTTTATTCATTTTTTCTTTACTTATGATTATATATTCTAGATATTTTTTTCAAACGACTACCTTTTTATTTGAGATGACTGTCATTTTTTTAAATATGCGAAGAAAGGTTAATATTATGATTTGGAACAAGGTTTGTTATTCCGCGTTTCTGTATGATCACGTGATGGACTTTGACAGGTTATGCATGTTGTCGATCACATATCTGAAATGCGCAAAATTCTTTAAAGTTCATTGATATTTAGGTTAACGTTTGTATTAAGGTAAAATCGCTGGAGGAAAACTTTTTATTAAAACATGAAAGATTGTTTCTTATGCAGATTTTTGAGAAATAACTGATCTTTGGCAAAACGAACGCTTGTTTTATGGTGTAACGTTACACCTGATCTTGAAATCTTCAGTAGTGTTGTAAGCCATATGACTTTAGTCGGCTGGCTAAGCCAGCCGACTAAAACATCGGCTAAGCGGCTAGCTAACA